AAGAATTCCTGGTTCTGTGTCCCCATCATATAACATACATGATCTGGGAATGGGGTCTTGGGTCTGTGATGTCTGTGATATGGCTCCTGACATCCTCTTGTAGCATATCATGACCAAAACAGGAATAACATGTTTGCCCCTCTAAATGCCCCGTAGTCTGACTCTGCAGCTAGCATGAAGCTAGTACAATCTATTTTAAGGGATTCCATAACATGTTTAAATTGTAGCTATATGGTAGGGGCTTTCAACCAGTAGCTAGAATCTGCTACTAGATCTCTAATTCTAATTCCACTAGCTACATGCCTCCCTTAGAGGTCTGCCAAAATTCTTAGTGGAGGACATGGAAGTTGGTAGCCTTCATTTAGAGATTTTATTAACACTTTCTCCCTCTCCACAGCCTTGTTTTAGAGAATTGCTTAGTCTTTCCATTCTGAGAAATTCAAAATTTCAATGAAATGAAAAATAAGAAAATGAGACTTTTTTCCAACTGAAATTCAAGAATATATTTTTGTGGTGGTGGTGATGTGGTAATTAATAGGAATTAAATTCTATAACAGCCATGAAACCAATGTTGACACTTAAACTTTGTTAAAATATGGACCATGTACTCTTTAAGATCTGTCAGGAATAATGAACAGAGATGGATTTGTTTTATTGCACTTTTTCAATATAGATTATACATATATACTTGCAAACAGCTTGGTTTTAGTTCCTGGTTGATTTTGTTCACTTTTATTGAAAAAAATGATGTGGCCTCTATAAAATTATTTCTGAGCAAAGAATCCTGAAAATATTGAATGACGTTTGCCTATTTTACATTTCTTCTTGTTTTGAAGATGGAAGTTTTCATGTATATTTCATCAAGAGGCTAAGAATTGTCATCAAATTAATACTTATTTTTCCAAATTCTCAATATCCAAGTTATTCTACCCAATTCATAAACATAATATCTTGTTTTCTAGTGGCTTCAGTGATCCCAGAAAAATTAACTAGAGTTCTTTACACACTGATATGTGAAAATATTACATGTGTCACTGTAATATTTATAGCAATACTCTACTATAATATTTAATATTGATTTAATAATTTAAAGGCCTATAGTGACCTAGAAGGCAAAGACCATGTCATTTTCTATACATGATCAACATCCAGAATATTAAATGAAGTATGATTGATGGAGCTACATACATGGAATGATTTCCATGAGAAGGAAGTGGGCACTAAAGAACATTTAAACTTGAATTCCATTTCTAAGCATCGGGAAATGTATTTGGAAGAAAGTCTCTTGAATGAATATAACCACAAACTATCTGCTTTTCATAAAAGCCCATTTTCATGACCTCCAGTAAAATGACTTTCTCTGCTTCAGAATTTTCACCCTCACCAGAATAGATGCTAGGTCTTCCTGTGAAATAGGAAAAACTTAGAATGCTTCTAATGTTCCAGTGGGCATAACGTTTCCACTTCCTTTATGGGAATATATGGTACTGAGAGCCAGAGAAGAATGATTGCTCTTTTTTTTTTTTGTATAAGTATATACTTACTACATCTCCATTCATCTCCCACATCTCCACATCCACTTCTCCAAAAGAAGTGTGTGAGAGTGTCTAGAGATCCACTGTATAAGAAATGTTCTGCTGGGATACACCGGTCACCCATTCTGAGTAAACCAGAAATGCTGCATGGCATATAATATGCAGTAATTGTGCTTTCGTGACTGAGATTCCTCGAATGGTCACTGATACTGGAACTTTTATGTTACCTACCCTAACTACCTCTTAAAGCAGAATTGTCCAATAGAAATAGATATACAAATCACATGTATAATCTTTAAGTTTTCTAAGTAGTGACAGTTTAAAAAAGGAAACAGATGAAAATAATTTTTATAATTTTTAAACCCAATATATCCAAAATATAAGAAATTCAATATGTAATTGATAGCAACAATAACTTTTAAATTTATATTTTCTTACTAAGCCATTGAATCCCTTATATAGTTAGCACATCTCAATTTGAAGTAGCCACATTTCAAGTGCTCAGTAGCTAGTAACCAATGTTTTTGACAGCCAGCAGCAGCCACTGGCTACTCTGTGAAACAGCGTAGTAGGTATGTCATTCTCTGCCTTCACCAGAACTTTTCAGGATTTTGCAAACCAGTAGCCCAGCATCATCAAGATCTCGAGTTAGTCTTTGAGAGCAAAAAGCAGAAAATACTCAGGTTTGGTAGTCACTGGGATCTGGAGTCCACTGTTTCTGTTTAAGTAAGCTCTGATACCCATGGCCTAAGAGAAGCCTTAAGCAACTCTATTTAAAAATGGGCAGGTGGCATCCTACCCCCTGTTTTATATCAATGATATGAAGCATTTGAACAGACTATATGGGGCTTCAGAGTTTGTAAGCATCAGCTGCTTCCCTCTGAATATTAGCCTCCCTGAGTGATTCTCTAACGCTTGTTGGGTACCTCCAAGCTCAAGTCATGCTTTCTTAAGAGAAGTTAAGAATTTTCACCAAAGCATGAAATGGTAGCACTGTGCCATTCTGTATAATGGGAATAATATGGGGTCAGAAGACTGGCCTTTGAAGCTCAAGGCTGTCAAGTGAGGTCTCATGAGCAATTAGTTGCAGAAAAGGGAATCACTTTTCCTTACCTGTAAAATTAGTGAGTGGTTGCACTAAATGAGCTGGGGACTTCCTTCTTATGTTGACATTGCATTGAGCAAGCAATTAAATATCTTGAAAGCATAAATCTAAAATCATTTACTGAATACACTCAAACCTTATTAATTCAGAATTATACAAATAAGTACATTCCAGACTTATGAAAAGCTAAATTTATGAAAAGTTATTGCAGAAAAGAGAGTTTTAGTATTTTTTGGACAGAGAACTTACAAAACAGATTTCCCTTAAATTTTGTCCTAATTTATTATTAGCCAAGTTATTAAGGGAGGTTGTTTTCAAGATAAAAGTTTACAATATTATCCTCTAAACATATTTTAAGGTAAAACAAATTAAAACAAAAATTAAACATGAAGCAAAATTAAAACAACAGAATAAAACTCTATGTGCAGCTTGGGAAATCAAAATCCACCTCAATGATCTCAGGCAATATCAGAAACACCATGATTTCTAAATTATTTTCCAGCTCTGAGACTACAGGTCCAGAGTAAATAAGAAAAGGCCAACCTCTCCTCCTTTGATTTCTGTCTGTACTTCATTCCTCTGTATTTTACATATTCACTGGTTCATTTACTTAGAAACTTTCTATTGAAAACACCTTATACAACAACACTGCTAAGCATCAGAGACATTAATAGAATAATGTACAATGCACAGTCCTTGCCATAAAGAAGCTTAGAGAAACTGAGGGACACAGAACAGTGAAAACCCAATTTCAGTCTGCCGTGCTAAGTGCTATTGACAGGAGTAAGCATAGATTAAAAGGGCCTACAAGAAACACAGAGCAACACTGGAGAAGCATTTAGCTAAATCTTGGATCAGTCACAGAAAACTTTCTAGATTAGGAACTTCTAATCTGAAGCTGAGCACTGGCTGATTCAGAAATCCACTAAGGGGTAGAGGCACTGGTTGGTGGAAGAAGTTTGGCATATTTCTTACAAAGCAACAGTGTGCTCACAAGTCTACAAAAGAGAATGTGGCCATTTTGGGGAATAATGAGGTGTTGCAGTACGACTAGATCATTGAATATAGTGAGGTAGTGAAGAGAGACAGGAGAGAGATGTGTCATCTGTGCTCTTACTGTCACTATGTCACTGCTGAGAAACTCAAAAGTTATTTGACCAAGAGTTGAAAATGCCAAAAGAAGAGTATATTTCAAACTACAGATGTATAATAAACCTACTACTGTCATATTAGCACTATATGCTTAAATTAGACTTTGCAATAGATCTAGCAAACCAAAGTTTTAAATTGTTGCTAAGCTAAATATTGAGTAGGCACGTGAAGTAATGGGCTAATAAGAATAATTGCAATTAGCATATCAACTGTTTCATTGTAAATATATGTTTTTAACCCATTTATGCCAGAAGTAGCAATTTTTCATGTGTGAAAAATCAGACTTTGGCAATGACCTTGAGCAGGATACAAATAAGTCCCATGGTCTTAGCATTCCAATAAGGGAACACTAGGCATATAATGGTTAAAGTATTTGAAATTGCTTTAAAATAGTTTGTTTTTTTAAGTATTTTAAAGATTCCCTCTATAAGGCAAACATAAATCTCAAGTGCATCATTTTTAGTTAAGCAGAGAAAATGCTGCCTAACATTTTAAAAATGGTTATATATTCTTGACTGGGGAGATCAAGATGATTAGGTTTTTACTGTATTTTTATTTTTATTTATTTATTTACTTAAAGACAGGGTCTCACTCTGTTACCTAGGCAGGCTGCAGCCCAGGGGTGCAATCAAGGTTCAGTGTAGCCTCGAACTCTTGGCCTCAAGCAATCCTCCTGTTTTGGTTTTCCAAAGTGCTGGGATTACATGAGTGAGTCACCATGCCTGGTCTGTATTTTTTTATTGAATACAGTTCCATCTCTAAGGGATAATGAATATAATGAGTGGCAGTGCATACTGAAAGCTGATCATTTAAAGTTTGTAATTAAATTGTACTGGCCACGTTTGCCCAAGCTTTCCCACAATATATGACCAAAAGGTTCTACACAAGAAACAAATAAACTTGAAACAGAAATGACAACGCTAAGTGAAAAGCCTTCATAGGTAAACAAAGAAATGTATCTACTACTCTTCCTTGAAATGCTTCCTTTATTTTTTTTCCGAGAGTAAAAGCAAAACGGAAAGCGTATGTGTTTCCTATTGCTGCTATACCAAATAATCACAAACTTCGTGGCTATTAACCACAGAAACGTATTATCTTGGTGGTCAGAAGTCCGAAATAGATCTCACTGGGCTAAAATCAAGATGTTGGCAGGGCTGCTTTCTTTTCTGGAAGTTCTAATGAAGAATTCATTTTCTTGCTTTGTCTAGCTTCTAGAGTCTGCCGAATTTCTCAGCTTGCAGCCCCTTTTGGTGTTTAAAGCCAGCAATGGTAAGTCAAGTCTTTCTCAAGATAACATCTCTCTACCTTCTTTCCTATTTAAGGGGCCTTGTGATTACATTGGGCACATCTGCATAATCCAAGACAATCTCTTCATTTAAGGTCAACTGATTAGCAACCTTAATTTCATCTACAACTTTATTTCTCCCTTGTTATATAACACAACACATTTACAGTTGCAGAGATTACAATGTGGGTATCTTTTCAGAGGGGCAATATTCTGTCAACCAAAGACATTGTCAGAGTAAGCAATAAATCTATCTTTAACCAACATTGTACACTGTATTATATTTATCCCAGAAAGATTTAATTGCAACACGATGCTAGGTTTTCATGGAATCTCAAAGAAGATGTAAGACAAAGTCCCTGCCCTCATGAAGTTTGCAGGGGGAAGAAAGCTATAAAAACACATGTATAATGGAGGTATCTTGTTGGACAAGGACCTATTATCACTTTAGGTGCTCATTAAGTTGAAATCATTGTTATTATCAATATCAAGTTAATATGATACTAAAGCAATAATATCAATTGGATCCAATATGTGAATCATAATGTACTATTAAGAGAGAAACAAAATGTCCTTTATCAGTTGGGTAATTTATCAGTCCATAGAGAAATTTTAAAATGCACTCAATCAACCAATTGACTGCATTGGTACTAAATAAGAAATGTGAATGATCCTTTTTATCATGGACCTGAATGATTTTGTTTTCCTTTAGGTTGACAGACAATTGTAATGTCAAGTAGGAGTTGTACTAGATTTTCAAAATATCTAAGGATGCTTCCTTTCAATGTTCTAGGGTGGAAAAAAATAAGTTAGGGAATCATTATCCCCATTTATGATCCTTTAGAGGTTTGTGTTACAGATGATTGTATCAATTTAGCCAACTATATTTTTCTTAGACTTAATTCTCTTCTGGGAAAGAAAGCACTTAAAATTCCACTTCAAATTTATCATCTTTTTGTGCTAAAGGCTCATTTTAAAAATCACTTTCACTCTGTTAGAAAAAAAGAATTATTTACTTTCTTCTCTCAAGTACAGAATGTAGTAGAGTTCCATTCATTAACAGGTTTTACTTGCTATACATTTAAAATGCTGATTTCAACTGCTGACTTAACATATTTATTAAATGCCTACTAAGTGTTAGGCATTCCTCTAGAAGATAAGACTATAACAGAAAATAAGACAGAGAAGGAGAGAGAAAATTACAGAAATAAGCCAGAAAAAAAACGATCACATGGTGAGAACTAAAATGAATGATGTGATCAACAGAGGCTGACTGTCTAGATTGTGTGGTCAGAGATGGCATCTCTAAAATAATGACATTTAGGCTGAGATCTGACTAATGAGGAGGAGCCAGCCGTTCATAGAGTGATAGAAGTAAACTCCAGTGGCCCTGAAGGACCACTAATGGAAGTAAGCATTAATGCAAACTTAATGAGTTGAAGATACAGAAGACCAGTGAAGCTGGATGGAGCACAGTAGGGTAGCAGGTAGAGGGTATAAAGTGGTCTTAGAGAGGCAGCCACAACACCATCATGTAGAACTGGGTGCAGTGGCTCACGCCTACAATCTTAGCACTTTGGGAAGCCAAGGTGGGGATTGCATTAGTATGGGAGTTCGAGACCAGACTAGGCAACATAGAAAAACTCACCTCTACAAAAAATATACAAAAATTAGCCAGGCATGGTGATGTGTGCCTATAGTCCCAGCTACGAGGGAGGCTGAGGCTCGAGGATCTCTAGAGCCCAGGAGGTAAAGGTTATAGTGAGCTGTGATCAGGCCACCACATTCCAGTCTGGGTGACAGAGCGAGAGACTGTCTCAAAAACAAAAAAAAACATCATGGAGGTGTCTAAGACATATGATGTTTAGATGATGGGAATAGATCATGGGAATTCCCTGAAAGGTTAAAGACAAGAAAATGATACCGTTTGATGTATATGATGAAAAACATCACTATAGCTGTTAAGTTTAGGAATAATTAATTGTAAGAGGAAAAATGGAAGTAGAGAAACTTGATATATTATAGTAATCCAAGTGAGAGATGACAGTGGTTTGCTAAAGTAATGTAACAGAAATAAAGAAAACTTAGCATTATCTTTTGGGGATAGTTAAAAAATGTGGTGATTTAATATGGAAGAATGAAAGATAAGAATCAATAATGACTCACAAATTTTTAAGTTGAAAAAGTGTTCAGGACGTCATGCTATTTACAGTAATGTAGATGACTAATAAAGGAGCAAGCTTGTGAGGAAAACGATGAGTTTGGTTTGGGCCACGTTATATTAAGATGCTTATGAGACATCTGGGTCATCTGGGACCTCGTTCAGTCACCTAGGACTAGTAAATCAGTAGAGAAGACAGTGAAACGTAGACAAGGAAATCCCAACTTTTATTGTGAGCAGAGCAGTAACAGTCAGCAAGGATTTGAAAAGCCCATGGGCCCTGGCACTAGTTTAGAACATTATAGGGTAGGGATTTGAGGAAATTAACGTCTAATGCCTTCAATATTTTGTTTTTGCTTCTTTAGATCATAGGAGATATGTGCATCTAAGGTCAAGCAAAAGTATTTGAGAGTGATGTGGGAGAGAGGAATAGGAAGGGGCCAATTAAGGAAGAAAACCATAAATGAGCAAGCACTAATTAATATGATTATATTATTTCCTTCAGAAGTGCTGTAAGTTAAGTATAGAAACAAGGAAGGATGCTTAAATCAAACTGAATGTAGTAGTAGAACAAAGTGAGACTTGCAAGCACTCATGAGAGAGTAGAAGTAATACTCAAATGGGTATGGATTCAAAGGGAGTTAAGTGAAGGTGGATGGACTGATGGGCTGGCAATCTAGGGAAGACTCAAGAAGTTGAAGCTTCCTAAGTCACTGAGGAAGCTTGCTCTAAGTCTAGTTAGAGCAAGACAGACTCTTTTGCACCACTCCAGTGGGAAAAATTCACATTAAACTGAAGTGTTGTGCTAACACAGAATACAGGGTGAATAGTGTTTTCTAGAATTATACAGTGACAGCCTTAAAGGAATAGAAGATTGTAGATAGAGTCTTGAGTAGGAAGTTGTTATTTCAGATGTACAAGATTTCTGAGTGATGATAAGGTACAAAATTTGGTCATGTGAATAAGTGGCTTAGGCCAGGTGCGGTGGCTCATGCTTGTAATCCCAGCACTCTGAGAGGCCAAGGCAGGTAGACCACCTGAGCTCAGGAGTTCGAGACCAGCCTGGGCAACATGGCAAAACCCTGTCTTTACCAAAAATACAAAAAAGAAAAAATAACCAGGCATGGTGGTGCATGCCTGTGGTCCCAGCTACTCAGGGGGTTGAGGTGGGAAGATCTCTTGACCCTGGGAGGCAGAGGTTGCAGTGAGCCAAGACTGTGCCACTGCAATGAAATCTGGGTGACAAGAATAAGACCTCATCTCACTCAATCAATCAATATCTTATTAGACTGTTAGTATGACTGACTATAGATACTGAATGAATTGTTTATGAACACTAAAGTCATATAAAAGGAGCATGGAAACTATCATGCTAGATGGCAAAAGTTATAAACTGAATGTCTATGTCCTCCCAAAATTCACAGGTTGAAACCCCCCAGTGTGATATTAGGAGGTGGGACCTTTGAGAGATAATTATATTTAGATGAGGTCATGAGGTTGGAGCCCTCATGAATGAGATTCATGCCCTTATAACAATAACTAGAGAGCTTGTTTCTTTCTGTTCTCAACAGTGTGAGGATACAAAAAGCTGGCAGTCTGCAACACTTAAGAGGACTCTCACTAGAACCCAATCATGCTGGTACCTGATCTCAGAGTTCCAGCCTCCAGAACTGTAAGAAATAAATTTCCATTATTCAAACTACCTAGTCTATGGTAGTTTGTTCCAAAGCTTGAACAGACTAAGACAGCGTGTTAAACCACAATCAGAAATGCCTCAACTTTAGAAAGAGAAAATATTCAAATACAAACGGAAACGTCTTATTAAATGAACATTAATTTGATTTGCAAGTATATAAAGAGATAGTGCCATTATTAACCACAATATAATTCTAAATAAGAGGAATAAAAGGGGCAGGTGCTGTGGCTCATGCCTGTAATACCAGCACTTTGGGAGGGCGAGGCAGGTAGATCACCTGAGGTCAGGAGTTTGAGACCAGCCTGGCCAAAATGGTGGAACCTCATTTCTACTAAAAGTACAAAAATTAGCTAGGTGTGGTGGCAGGCACCTGTAATCCTAGCTACCTGGGAGGCTGAAGCATGAGAATTGCTTGAACCTGCAAAGTGGAGGTTGCAGTGAGCCGAGACTGCACCACTGCACTCCAGGCTGGGTAACAGAGTGAGACTGTATAAAAAAAGAGAGAGAGAGAGAGAGAGAGAGAGAGAGAGAGAGAGAGAGAGAGAGAGAGAGAGAGAGAGAGAGAGATAGAAATGGGAGAGAAGGAGGGAGTGAAAATATAAAAGGGAAGGAAAATAGGTCTTGACAAATTAAGACCATAACACTGAGCAACAGATTATGGCATCTGTCCCCACAGTTGCATTATTCTCTTACATAGTCTCTGTCTTATTTTCATCTGGTCCATCTTCACATTTTTTTTTTTTTTTTTGAGACCAAGTTTCACTCTTGCTGGCAAGAGAGCTTTTTAAGATGAAAAATGGTACACAAAATAATGGACTTACCTCCATAAACCCTTCAACAGCTTCCCATTATCCCCAGAATCATGTCTAAATTCCTTAGTGTGGCAGTCAGGGACCTTGATGACCTAATCACCGCTTTTTCCTCCAGACACGCTTCTCAACATATTCCCCATAATTCCCTTGCGATACAATTACTTGTCCTTCCCTACAAATGTTAGGTCACTTCTCACATCTGTGTTACACACAGGCCATTCCTTTTAACTGTGTTCCTCTCAGTAGATGGCCATAATTTGATAGACAAAATGGCTAGAACAGTTGGATCACAGAGTGACATAAATCCTGACAGTATAAAAATATGACTATTACCTACAGTATGTCCAGAATCAGTCTTTGCAAGGGATGATTATGGTTGACCCAAGATCTGCCAACTATATTTTCTTCCAAGAAGTCCCTGGTGCTTCCAAGCAAGTCCCTGCTGGGGATACATTGTATGCTCCAAAATGAACAGAATGTTAAAAACTAATAAGATTTGTGAGAGTCTTTTCTTGGCAAATTTGACAATAATTCGTGTCTATTAAGTTTTTATTAGTCACATAGTAAATGAAACAGAGGATGTGATATTTAAATATATACATTTGACATTTAGCAAGAAAGACTACGAATGTAAATACTGATGAAAAAAAGTGCTTTTTGTTTAATACGTTGTAAGCAAACCAACTACTAAAAAGTTAACATTTCATAAATAATTTGTGAAGCAGCCATTCATGTCTCCTTCCTAACATTAATGATTAAAATAGTAACCGGGATGAGCGCAGTGACTCATGACTATAATCCCAGTACTATGGGAGGCCAAAATCAGAAGGATCACCTGAGGTCAGAAGTTTTGAGACCAGCCTAAGCTATATATGATACTGTGTCTACAAAACACTTTTAAAAACTAGTGGGGGTTTGTAGTCCTCACTACTTGAAAGATTAAGGTGGGAGGATTGTTTGAGACCAGGAGTTGGAGGCTGTAGTGAACTATCATCACGCCACTGCATCCCGGCCTGGGTAACAGAGCAAGACTCTCTCAATTAACAAAAAAAAAAATTTGAGTCCTAAAAGGGATCCAATTTTATTTTAGAATTCACATTAACAAGGATAGTAATAATAGCAAAAGCTAACACCGGGCTCATAGTAGTTACACATTATTCACCTACAAAAGTTTTTCAGGTCTGGATACGGAAGTGGACATTTTCAGTATCAGGTTAAACCTCTAATGGAACAAAGACCAATGTGAAGTTTTCAACCGTGAAATCTCCTTTAATACATCTTACCTTGGGATATATCTCAGTTCACTTTATGGAATATAAGTCTATAAATACACAGACAAAACTATTTTCTCAATTCATTTTGGTTGTTAGAATGACTCATTTAATTTAATAAGGATAGAACTGCATTATCAGCTGTGTGGGTATATTTAACAAAGACAAAGAAAATTTAGGAAATCAAATGACATAATGTAACATGTAGTAGAAGATACTGTTGTACTGAGGAAAGGCTACTACACTTAAATTCCAGGGACCTGAAATCTAATCCTTGTATTGTTATGTGATTCCAGCTTAAAAGCTGAAGATGGGAAAGATGTTCAACATTAGTCATTGGGAAACTGTAAACCAAAACCACAATGAGATATTGTTTTATACCTAGTAGGGTAACTATAATCATAAAAATTAGAAAAATTCACGTTGGTGAGCCTGTGAAGAAACTGAAACACTTACACATTGCTGGTGGGAATGTAAGATGATAGATGTACCGTGGAAAATAGTTTGGTGGGTCCTCAGAAAGTTAAACATAGAATTACTCAGCAATTCTGCTAAAAATAGGCACTCAAAAATAAAAATACCTGTATGTAAGTCTTCATAGTAGCACTATTCATAAGAGACAGAAGATGAAAATAACCCCAATATCCATCAGCAAGTGTGTGGATGAATAAAACCTGTCCTACATGCACAATGGATTATTACTTCACCATGAAAAGAAGTGAATTACTAATACATGTTACAACGTGTATGTGCTTCCAAAGCAATAAGCTAAGTGAAAGAAGCATGTGATGTAAGCATGTCCTATGAATTTACCTGTTCTGTATTATTCTATTTATATGAAATATAAAGAACAGGTATATTCACAGGGCAAAAAGAAGATTTGTGTTGCCAGGGTCTGTCTAATGGTAAGAGAAAATAAGAGTGACTGCTTAATAAGTATGGGATATTCTTTTGGGGTAATTAAACTGTTTTGGAACCACACAGAAGTGGTGATTGTACAACCTTGTGAATGACTATGCCTCTGAATTGTACACTTTAAAATGCCTAATTTTATGTCATACAAATTTCACATTAAAAATGTTGAAGGAGAGCCTTCTTGAATGGCCACATGGAGAATTCAGCACATTTTCTCACAAAGCAAAGATAAAGCTGCATAACTGTCCCAAACAACCATTTCAGATCTAAAAATTGATGAAAGGCATAGAAAAAAATGGTGAAATATTTATTCGAGAAAATCTATTAAGCTTCAGAAGAACAGTAAGAGTCTGTGGCATTGCATCCTTTAGTTTCTACCTTATTCACCAGCCCCATTCTCTTCATTGCTCTATTTCTACCAGGACATAGCAAATTGTAAGGGATACCAGCTTTCCTAACAGACAGAGAAGAAACAATTTTGAGCTGAGCTTGGAAAGGCCCATGTCCTGAGCTGTTGTCAAAAACAATAGCAATCCTAGGTGGCCAACAGTCAGAGAAGGGCACTATCACAGCTTGCCTGAGATTACAATACTGGAGATAAGCAGTGGACCTGCCTACAGTCAGAAATTTTATAGCGAGATCTGAAGAAAGCACCAGACACAGTGGGCCGTGATAAACGTGCACATATCCTGGGGTTGGGAAGGCTGTAAACATCAGCATAAGGTGGTGGAGAGAATCCTAGTTATCTACTCAGATTTGCCTGAATGTAATGTCTTATATGTGAAGAAAGTAAAAGACAGGGCAGCTTCATAAACTACCCGAACTTTTTCAATGTGTTTCTCAATGCGAACGCTGATCCATCAGCAAAGGATGGAAGTCCTCTTGGCTGAACATGCTTAAGCACAACCTTTGACAAGTCAATGTCTGACCACTAAAACAATTTAGAGGAAACCCTAGGAAGACAGATTTTAAAATGAAAAGATTAAACAACATTTTTCTATAAAAAGGAACATTAGGCAGAGCATCAGCTATACCCATTAGAGGCAAGATGGAATTTCCAAAATTAGTCCAGGCAAATCATTGATCAAAATGAAACAGAAACAGCAACAACTACTACTAGGGTGGCGTGTGAGGTGAAGTGGTCAGAACCCAGCACTGCTATATTATCAAACTGTTCAGTTTTCAACGAAAAATTGCAAAACACGTAAAGAAATAGGAAACAGTGACTCAAACACGGGGGAAAATAAGTTAAAAGAAACTTTATGAGGGACCCCAGGTGTAAAACTTGCCTAACAAAAACTTCAAAACTGCTATGAGAATCATGTACAATAAATTAAACTGTTCTAAGAATGACAGGGCCGAGGCATGTGGATCACGAGGTCAAGAGATCGAGACCATCCTGGTCAACATGGTGAAACTTCATCTCTACTAAAAAATACAAAAAATTAGCTGGGCATGGTGGCACATGCCTGTAATCCCAGCTATTCAGGAGGCGGAGGCAGGAGAATTGCCTGAATCCAGGAGGCTTATGTTGCGGTGAGCCGAGATCGCGCCATTGCACTCCAGCCTGGGTAACAAGAGTGAAACTCCATCTCAAAAAAAAAAAAAAAGAATGACAGAAGATGTAACAACAATGATTCATCAAATATATCAACATAAAGATAAAAATGACTGAAAAAAATTCTAAAGCTTTTCAGCTGTATTTTTCCAAATATAGTAACTGAAATGAAAATTTTACTGGAGGGGCAACAGTAGATCTGTCTGGCCTGTAGAAATAATTAGCTATTCTGAAGATAGATCAATTGAACTTATCTTAGGGAGGATAGGGGAAAAAAGAAAAGAATGAGATGAATTAAGAACAAAGCCTTCTCAAAGACCTGTGGGAATACTTCAAGTATACCAGCATATGAATAATTGGAGTCTTGGAAAGAAGAGGAGAGGGGAAAAAGGGGCTAAAATTATTTGAAGTGTAATAATGGTCATAAAATTCACAAATTTAATGAAAAACATTAAATATAACCTCAAGAAGCCAACAAACCATAAGTATGACAAACAAAAGAAATCCACACCTAGAAACAATCAAGTTATTAAAAGTTAAAGACCAAGAGATAATTTTAAAAGGAATCAAAAAAATAACTAATATAAAACATAACCACATTAAGTTTAAAGCAAAATCCTCATCAGAACAAAAAAAAAAAGTCCAAAGCAC